CTAAAATCATATTTACATAATACATTTTTAAAGACTTGTGTAATTTTTATTTATTTAATAATGAAACGGACAGCGGCCCAATATACGGTACCTATATACAATTTTATCTTTTATTATTTTTTTTATTGCTGCTCGGATATGCAATCAACATATTATAATATGATTGCAGACCGTATATCCGAGCAGCACCAAATTTAAATGTTAATGCCTTTAAAATAATTTCATATACTTACCAGCTTGAATAATGAAATCAATGGCTGATTGCTCTAACATGAAACAGTATGAGTGGTCACCTTTAGCCACTTTTAAATTAAAGTGACTGTCAGTTTGGGCCATGATAATGTCTTCACACTTCTACACGTACCTAGTATGTAGTTACCTTTTTACTAGCAAGTAGTTAGTATCTATATTATAAGTTTTTCGTGACTGCAAGAATTAATTTAAATTTTCAATTAATCAAGTTCAACAGACTCACGAGATGAAATAGCAAAACAATCACTCTGTTCACTCAATCTGGCAATGAAAAATTAAAAAAAGAATAATATAGATTGTTAGTTATCAAAAATGAAATATCATCATAATCATTTGATGAATTATGTTTCAGATGCTCCTTAAATTGACTGCACTGAGCAAGATTACGTGTGTTATCATTTGCACGCTGTACGTGCAACTAACCGCACTGGTGCAGTCATATGGAAAACACTATTATATATCTAATTAAATAGGTCAAAAATATTAAATGGTATTAAATAAATTAATCATTACATATTTTAGATATTTAAAAAATGTTATGTCTAAATAGGTATATAATACTATGCATTTTTGTTTTGAATTAAACTTTGATGCATGAGTAATAACAAAAAAACAGTGTGATATTTTTTAATAATATACTTTATTGTCTGACTGTACTTTATTAACTGACTAACCTAACGTCCTGACCATAAAGTATCGTCTAAAGACTGTAAAAATAACAGTTGATTTAAATGCTTGGATGTTAATCGATTCCGTTGTTTGTTTAATGTCAATCCTGTCTTAGAAACTAATCTTTCGCTGGGGACAGACGTCGTAAAAGGTACTAGATATTTAACGGCAACCTTGGATAGTATTGGATACACATTGCACATATCCTTCCATATTAGTAAAGCATCATCTGGCATGACTGCTTTTCAGGTATAAATTTAATTCAGAGGGAAATCCACTATCCTCCTGTAACTGTCCTCTATGGGATTTACGACTGGTAGATTGTTGAACATATTTAGCATGATCTTGCCACAAATTGAACGTCTGAGGTTCTTCTACTGCTGAAAAATAAAAAATGCATACATGTTACATCATAGATTTATTTTGTAAATGATAAATTGTGTATTCATACTTGTGTTGTCTGTATCAGATGAAGTTTCACTGGAGCTCATGGTCTCTGTTTGTTTGATCTCGGCCTTGGTTCTTCTGCTTCATCTTCTTCTTTGCCTGATAGATCATCAATAACTGAGTATGAATCCAAACCTGGAAAACTGGCATGCATAACACATTACGCCTCCTTAAATTTTGTTTCAAGATTCTTAAAATGCTTGAGATATTTTATAAAACACATCATGTAAACCTAAATCAAACTACCTATGTGTAACATTCAATTTGTTATGAATAACACCAATTGGTGTGTGGTACTTCACATATCCTCTCAACCCAGGAAAATAGTAATTCTTCTAGGATGTACACAATTAACGTTCGCCCCACATTTATCTTCAATATTTTTATCGATGGTCAACCTAGTACCCTATCATATGTTTTATAAAATATTATTTTGTTGTTGAAAATGTATTATAAAGTTTTACCTGCTGTTAACCTTCACACTTCTAATATTAATGTGAGACTTTATCCATTTTAATTTTGTTAATTTCTTTATTACAAAATTTGATTCTTTTAAGTCTTGACAATTTCCATTTTATTTAAGAATGGTTTCAATTATTATATCAAGTAAAAACAATTTTGTGCTTCTAGATGATTATTAATTCATAAGTGCGTTTACTGTATAATAGTAACATATTTAGTTAATTGAAAACAATGAATGTTTGATACAGTTTGGGTCAGAATTATGAATTAAAGTTTTTTATCTGGTTTTTTACATTAACTACAATTAAAATATATTTTTATGAAAGAAAATATTTGAATCTTTATTTTATTATTACATTATAACTTTATTATTAATTATGGATACTTATATAATAGCTATTTGTTCTTATCTACCATATTTGCATTAACATTGATATGAATTTGTTTTAAATTAAAACAAATAAAAAATAAAAAAAAGATGTTTCATACATGTTGATATTATTGTGTATAATAATTGTAAGTTGAGAATTCAACTGATATATAGTCAAGTTAGCTGTGAACTGATGATTATTTACGATCGACCTTATTTACCAATATGTTATATATTTATATCATATAATTTTATATACATATTATTCATAATCTCAATAAATAATAAAACTACTATGAATAATTAATTAACACAAATAAGTATCAAATAACAATTAAAATTTTATTCCTTGTTATTAGGTTGAAAAATATTTATAAAAAAAAATACAAGGATTATAACAATTAAAAAAAATTAGTTAAGTAAAAATAATTAAAAGTCTTCGTCGTCATCTTCACTGTCGCTGGTTTCATCGGGATTTATTGTTATTATTATTGGTTCTAAAATTTCGTCACGTAAACCTTCTTTTATGAAATCTGATTCTTGCAATTCTTCGCAGTGCTTGACACAACGCTTCCAATCTTCGACCGTAACCGAGTCTATGACTTCGTTTACAAGTTTTTCGACATCGGCAATTTTAAATGTGGTGTTCAATTCGGCAACCTTATTTTTGATTTGAGCCCATATGAGCTCGATGGGATTATACTGACAGTGGTATGGTGGCAATCGTACAACCGAATGTCCCATTTGTAATGCAATGCCATCGAGTTCATACTCCTTTTCTTTGGGCATTGCAGCTTTTACCCGTTCACGTAACTCACTCAGAGTTTCAGGTGGAGAAAAATCGATACTTTTATGGGATAACCACTGTTGGATATCCGCTTTTCTCGCGTTTGACTTCGGGTAACTTACTGTTAAAGTGGAGTGGTATGACGCGTTGTCCATAACGATAATGGATGGTTCTTCCAAATGGTTCAACATTTTAATGAACCATTCTTTAAATATTGACGAATTCATTTGGGTATGGTAGTCTACATTTGTACCAGATTGACAACGGAACACTAATTTTGAACCTGCTACAAATCCAAATGAACTTGACCCGGCATGGCAGATAATCAAACGACTCCCTTTTCCAGTAGGCACCTTCAACCCTTCAGAATTTTTTTCGTTCTGCCATATGTACCCGCGAGTATGGTTTTGATTAACCCAGGTCTCGTCCAGATAAACGATAGGGCGAGTGTCATTATTTTGACCTAAATTACACATAGTTCTCAAAAATTTTACGCGCATTGCAACTATGTCATTTCTTTCCATAAGAATTTTTCTACCATCGTTACATTTCTTATATTTGAAATGTAACGACTTTAAAATTCGCCACATAGAAGTTTTGGATCCCTTATAGTCAGTTTTTTCTTGGTACTTACTCAGCAATTTAGTTGATGTAGGATACTCAAGATTGTCGTAGAACTCATGGATAGTTCTACGAACAATATCCGCATCAAAGTCGTCAATGTCCGTTGCATATTTGACTCGCTTATATTGTTTACGTGGAGAAGTAAATGATGGATTTGAAGGGCCGGCCTCTGGTTCTGCATTGGCGATCGATTTATTACCTTCACTCGTTATTCTTTTTACGGAACTAAGGCTGACTCCACATGCTTCCGCAGTAACTGATTGAGGTAGGCTAAAATATTTTGCAACTTCGGGGTTCGTTTGGTCTTTCGACAATTTTTTAAAATAATTATAAACCTTAAAAATTGTGTCTTTTGTTTGCGAGTGAATATCAACACGTACCATTATTAAAAGAATAAACACCGTATATTTGAATATCCGCGGGCTAATGGCAATCAGTGAAATAAAAACGATAACGGAACAACAATATTTACAATAGTACGTTAATTAATGTGAATCACAATGATATCAAAGTACAAAATAAACACGTGTGATGTGGTGTACACTGTACACGTCAATAATATTATCATTAATCTGGTATCATTTTGTTATCAAAATATCCAGTGGTGTATAAAACGGTGAAGCATACAATAGCAGCAGCTGCAATCTGAACCATTAAACTGCAGCTGCAATGCTGTCTGAGCACACAGCTGCTGTACAATTTTCGCGCGCATTGTAGTGCACATGTTGAGAAGCCATACCGATTTTTGTCCGCCGGTCGCGCTGGAATCGAGTCTCTTATTTCGTGAAACGCACTATATAAGTTTTGACATTTACTTTTACAGCATCTATAATAGTTAGTATATAATTAAATTTAATAAAGTACCTATACTCTATTTCACGAGAGAACGGTAGTGTTTCGCGCATGCAGACTGAGCTGCGGCACACGACCGGACCCCTCGATGTGTTGTCAGCGCTCGATCAGTGCCGATGTGATACGACAATGAACGACCGCCGTTACTGCCGCCGACTATACAGCGTGCTAAATTAATTATGTTATATTGTCAATAGTCAACCGTCACACGTCATATGCGTATGTACGAGTATTAATTATGATCAGACCGCGGTGGCGGTCGTAGTAACGTAAATATGTATAGTAAAAAAAATGTGATTTAATATTATATTGCCCCTTACACCAAATTAAATAAATATAAAATGTTATGTAATGTTTGTATATAATATGTAATAATATAATATATATACAGATATACAAATTTAATATATTATATTACATTTTTATTTTAAACAACAAATAAAAATCAAAGAAAATATAATTACATATAAAATAAAATACATACAAAAAAAAAAACGTATAAACCAGTAGAAAAAAAATGTAATATACAAAATAATTTTAAGATTCGGAATCTGATGAGGTTTCTCCTGTGATGGTCATTGGAGTGTATCCCATATTATCCATTATGTCATCCACAATGAAATCTATCTTCCAAAATTTTTCTTCTTCTTTTTTTACGTGGCTAATGAAATTTGTCCACATTTCAGGAGTGCATCGGTCGATACCGTCGTGGAGGAGCTTATGCACGTCCTGCAGTTTGAATGTGGAATTGTTCATTTTAACGTGTTTTTTCACGACCGACCATGCCAACTCAATAGGGTTGAGTTCACAATGATAGGGTGGTAACCGTAATACCACCCTATTGTGTTTCTTTACATATTCGTCAATAACATACTTGTTATAACGAGGTTTTATGCGATTAACTATTTCCATAAGTCGTACCTTAATAAGTGGTTTGTCGTAGACCTCTCCTTTTTCATCTAACCACTTCTCAATGTCGGCCTTTTTCCAATTAAGTGTTGGACACAACTCAGCCTTCACACTATGATAGGGAGCGTTATCCATCACAATAACAGAGTTGTCCTTAAGTAATGGTAAAACTCTTTGTATCCACTCAAAAAAGGTATTCCCATTCATTTCATCGTGGTAATCGTTTGATTTGGTTTTAGACTCAAATGATAATAGTCCGCCCGGAACAAATCCTTCTTCCGAACCAATGTGCAGGACAATTAAACGCTTGCCCTTGCCACTTGGGTTGGTAGCACCGACTGTTAGACCCTTCAGGAATGCGTCTCTGCCAGACTCAATTGTATTGTCTACCCATATTTTGTTTGAAACGTCACCTGCGTTTACCCACGTTTCATCCAGGTAGTAAATGGTCCGTCCTTCCTCTCGATATTTACGCACGTTTTCTAAATATTTATTTCTCCAAATGACGATTTCTTCTTTTTCAAGCATAGCACTATTACGACCTCTCTTAGTAAACGTAAAATTTAACTTTTTCAATAAACGGTACAATGTTGTATGAGAAAAATTTGGAAGGTCAGGGTCTTCGTTAATTGAAGTCAGTATTTTTTCAATAGTCGGTAATTCACGTCTAAACCAAAAGTCATGGACTTTTCGCCGCACAGCATTCTTTTCGAAATCGTCAGTTTTTTCGAATACTGAAGCCCTGATTTTGGTTTTATTCGGAGACTTTAATACGCCTTCATTTTTATAATCCGAAATGGTTTTACTAACTGTATTCCTACCGACACCAGTTGTTTTGCAAACGCTTAGAACCAAGTCCATATATTTAATTTTTGGTTGTTGTAACAGTATTGATTTGTATACATTAATTATTGTTTCCTTTTGACGAGAGCAAACGAACTAAAAAAAAAAAAAATTGAAATATAATTCGTGTCGTAATTTATTATGTTTACTTTTTTATTTGAGATATTTATTTTATTGTATAATTTCTTTTTTTATTATGTTTAATATTATTATTTTACGTAATTTATAAGGCTTTTGAAATTTAGATGAAAATTACAATTAAAAAAAACAATACTTATAATCACAAGTTTTACATTTTTTATACTCATAATTAAGTAAAATTGTTTTGGTAAAAAATAGGTAAATAAAATTAATAAAAATATCTTACCTTTCCTTTTTTGTTTTTCTTAACTGGTGAAACACCTGCATCCACTCCAGAATGAGAAGGATCATCCATTATGATAATTTAATGATGAAATAAATAAAAATAAATAACAATGCCAATATTAAAAAAAAAAACTGTGTATCCGTAGTCAGAGACCAGAGTAGGTAACACTTTGCACCGCTACGTATAAACAAACACGTGATTGCTATCGTCGTCGACGGCTGTCGCCGTAGCACACCAGTTGCGTTAGTGTAGAGCGCTCTAGGCGAGGTACGGGGTGGGGATGCGCAAAACGAACCTGTTTTCGTCGAGACCTACTACCGTTCTCTCATGAAATAGAGTATATATTAGATATAAGAGTTTAAGAGTAGATACCTATTTATTACTTAAATTACAAACATAAAAACCACATTATAGGTACTAACTATTTTTTAATACCAATATTTTTTTTTGAAATATTAATATTTAGTACTAAACAATATAGATGCATTAATAATATTACTATATATGAATTATTATAATATAATGCAAACTTAATTTTGCCTGTATTCTACTATAATTAGTTGAGTACCTAGTTATCAATGTAATGAATTTAAAAATAAATAATAATACTACATAGAACATACCACTTTTATCTAAATTATTTTTTTTTACAAACGCATCCAATGATCCTTTGACTTTTTTAAATTCTAGATCTTTTTTTTCTTTTATTTTTCGTTTTTGGTGACCACTAAGCTGTTTAGGTTTGGTTGACATGTTTTTAATTTTTATAATAATAATTAATGAGAATAGTCAGAATTTAGTTACTCGTAAACCGAAATTGAAAGTCGTTAACTGAAAAACAAATCACAATTCAATTTCGAGATAGAATGAGTTTATAATTCTTGGGCTATTAATACTTTATAATTACCATGTCTGTCAATGTATCCAGCTATTGTAGTGGCAAAAAGTCTTGTTTCATTTATTTTTAATCCTGTAATCTCCCCCCCCCCCCCAAGTGGTAGGTGATAAATTAATCTTTGGTGAATTTCCGAACAACGTGAATTGCCTAGTTCTGATATTTCTGTGAAGTAGCCATTTTCTACCGTTTGTGCATCCTCTAGTACTGAGCACCGTGATATGAAATAGTTTATTATTATTGAACATGATTTATAAGGTATTGAATAAGTGTCTGTTTTTTGTAGTAACTGAATTCTCTGAATAGGTTGAACGTTGACTTCGGTCGGAAGGTCACAAAAATCTACATTCAGACTTTTGAATGTCGTTATGTTTATTTTTGGTCCACCACAGTCATATGCAATAAATCCTAGTGTTGGTTGTATGGATGAGAAGGTGATGATTCTTGGGAAGTACATCTTGATATAGTTAGATTATAATATACAATTTTGTGTTAGATATATAATATATGTATATAATATATATGGCAAATATATTAATGGTATATTGAATGTTGGATGATACACGAGTCCAGCAGTTTGGATAAATAAGTAGATAAGTTTAGATAAATAAATAGGTCTTTATTGCAGTTATCAAGAGCGTCAAGAACACTTTTTATGCTTAGTTTTTCCAAACGTGTATGCCATAACTTTACCTCTGTTTCAATAACTTCTTGATCAATATCATCAGAATAAAACTCACTTAAATCTTTGATAGCTTGTTGATTACAATTTTTATTAGAAATGAGAAAATAAAAGCCAGCTATAATATTTTTGTGGTTTATAAATCGGTCATTTAATTGTTGCACTAAATTGTCCAGAAATGGAAGAAATACACTTATTTTAAAATATTTTTCAGGATTATCTGTATGATAGTTTGATCGATGCATTTTGTCGTTTGACCATTCTAGGAATGTCAATTTCAAAATCAATTTTCTTTGATCTTTCTGTTAATTCTTCAAAATACTTATGAAATTCTACATCACAATTACTTCTTATACTTTGGAGTTGAGAAATTATTATATCTACATGATTTAAAGCTTGAAATAAATCTATGTTTTTTTTTTGTAAATATGTGCAAAGATTTTTTGTTTATTGAAATATTTTATAAATAATAATAAGACTTACATTGAATTCCGACTTTTGAATAGCTGAAAGTAACTGAGCTGCTTTTGATAATGTTTCAGTATTTCAATATAGTATCATTTCTTCAAAACAAGATATAATTACGGGTTGAAAATCATAAAATACATCTATTGAATTGTGTCTTGCAGTCCATCGAGTAGGACTTAGTCTTTTTAATTTTTCTTTTTGACTTGAAAAAGAAGTATCTTCCTTAAATTTATTTAAATGTTTTGTAAACTCAAATTGTCTCTTTGGAGTATTGAGAAATGCATAAATGCTTTCTATTGTCCCCATAGCATTTTTGATACTGGGAACACTACAAGCATATTATATAGATAGGTTTAAGTTATGTGCACTACAATGAACATATATTGCGCTATGGTATGACTCCCTAATACAAGCTTGAATTTTGCCTCTCTACAAGCCGAGAATGCCTCCCGGGCGGCATCAGGCCACGCGAGCGGGTCGTCGTTTTTTTTAATGGACTATGTCGAGTTTAGTAAAAACTGTTTTTCCCGCGAGGTTCGCGGTGAAGTCGTGCAGGTAGGGAAGTGTGTATCTATCCGGGACGGTGACACTGTTAAGTCGACGATAATCACCGCACGGTCGGAAAGACCCATCCTTGGGAACCAAGAATAGAGGGCTAGCCCAAGCGCTGGAAGACGGTCGGCAAATTCCTTGTTCCTGCATGAGTTGGAAATCGCGGCGCGCGATGTCGAGTCGATCAGGTGGCAGTCGCCGCGGGCGCGCGAAAAAGGGAGGTCTTTTTGTTTCGAGGACGTGCTCAACCCCGTGTCGGAATAATTCGGGAACGGGTGACTCGCGGCTCACGCTTGGAAAGTCCCGTAGCAATAGATCCCAATCCGGAGCGCGGGCGACGGTGGAAAGGGAGGTGCCTGTCGACGGTGTGAAGGTCACTGCACAGTGCACAGGTAACCGCTCGTTTGTCGGTGGGGTCGACGAGGCGTTGGCGCCGAACGCCGACGAGTAGGCCGAAGTAGTGTAAAAAATCAGCGCCGATGATGGAGCGTGAGACATCTGCCATCTCAAAGGTCCATGTAAAGGTGCGCGTGAGCCCCAGGTCGAGGATGAGAGTTTTCGGCCCGAAAGTCTTGATCCGTGTTCCGTTTGCCGCTGTGAGGTGGACGTCGGACGGCTGGCGCGAGCCGTAGTTGTGCGGAATCACCGAAATCTCGGCGCCCGTGTCGATGAGGAACAGCTTGCTGGAACGTTGGTCGTTGATGTGTACCCGCCTAGTGTTACTAACGGCGTACAGGGCATGTGTCCTGAGCGCGCCTTTCAGTTTTCCGCGTGCGCGGAAGCGGCATTCTCCCGTGACTCCGGTTTGACTCTGCACGGCTGGCGACACAAGCGCGCTTTACTGCTGAATCTCGCGTGGTAGTAGCATGGTAGCCCCGGCTGCTGCACGTTGGCACGTGTAGGAGTCTGTGGCTGTTGCCGTGGAGACCCTCCCTTGGAGTTGACTATCTTCGTAAGAGACTGTACCTGCAGGGACAGCGCAGACACAGCACTGGCCAGGTCATTGAACTGTTCCTTAGACAGCGCGTCGACTCTACGGATTGGATGCTTCCAAAATTGGCCAGGTCGTCCAACGGCGCGACGAGGCCGGTGAGGATGGTTGTCACGTTTGACGGAAGTTTCTGTAGCTAAAATTCTTTCAAGGCGTCTTCGCCTATGCCGGGAGGGTTGCTGCTGCGCATGTCACGAAGTAGTTGCGAAGGTCGGCGGTCACCCAAGCCTCCAGGCTTGACGATTTCGCGGAAGAGCAGCGATCTCGGAACTTGACGCTGATGAGACGGGTGCGAATGTCGGTGCCAAGCCGTGCTCAAGAGGTCGCCGATGTAACGCCACTGCCTCTTCGTCCAAGGCGCTGACGACGAAGTTAATTTTGCTCTCGTTGGTCGAAATACGCTGAGTCGCGAACATGGACTCCGCGTAGGTAAACCAGAGGGCCGGGGATCGTTTCCAAAAAACCGGGAGCCGCATGGTCGAAACTGCCTCGACGGCCGGGTTCCCGACGACGTTGGCGTTCGGGTTCTTTGCCTGTGCGTCGTCGTTCATGACGGTTTTAACGCGGAAAGGAAAAAAATCGAGACGAATATGCGACCGAATATGTCTCCAATTCTGGACTGCCGCACTCGCGTTCTGGGCCGGTCGTCGGGTCTCGATGGCTTCATCAGCACATTCCTTGAGACCGACGACGGCTCACACATGCATATAACAATATTAAACATATACGTATAAACTAAACAAAAACAGTGGTTCTTAACAATACCATTTAGAGGGTCGGCCGTTATAGTTTGAATATGTCTCCGGAAAGTTTCGGGACAAACCTGAATGGCTGATACCGCTATTAGCAAGGTATTCTAGCTTTGACTTTGAATATTTTTTTAGGAAAATGTATCAGCTTGTCTATCAATTGGAATGTGATAGGGGTCACGCTGACTGGAACTTTTATTTGGCGTGCAATAGTCTGGTTTTTGATAATGTTTCAGGACCCAGATTGTTTAATAATCTAGCTTCCAAAACTTTTAAATGAAAACATATACATTACGAGGACCTAGAATTGAAGAACGTTCAGATAGGAGTAAATTATTGGCATAGTCTAACGTTCAGAATTCATTCGGATTTAAAATATTTAGAATATTTAGATTTACATAATAAACTAGGTCCTGAAACTCAGGATCGTCTCAGGTAAGTAGGTGTACACTAAGATTGTGACACTGAAGCACCACCACCACCCAGTTGGGTCCCCCATTAATGGGGGTTGACGTTGGGCCAACTACCCAACTCGTAAAAACAAAACAGGTTCCGAAACAAAACAAACCTCAGCCTCGGATGAACAGTAAAAATTTGGAAAATTTGAGTTTAGGAACTTGGAACGTGCGCACGTTATATGCTACGGGCGCTTTGATGACAGTCGTTTCAGCAATAGAAACGTACGGATTATATATAGTGGCCATTCAAGAACTGAGATGGACAGGATCAGGAAGTATAAGGTAAAATAACCATACAGTGTTTTACAGCTGTGGCACAAATCACGAAGCCGGAGTACTCTTTATAATCAAGAATGATATACTCCCATATGTTAAGAATTTTATAGCGTATAATGAAAGACTGTGCTACATACAAGTCGAATGTAAATGGCTTAACATGACATTAGTAAATGGTTATGCACCAACAGAGGAAAAAGAAAATCAGATCAAGGAAAAATTCTATAGCGAGTTAGATACCATATATGAATGCATACCAAAAAGAATACCGAAAATAATAATGGGGGACTTTAATGCAAAGATAGGGAAAGAGAGAGTTTTTGAACCTACAATCGGCCAAGAAAGCCTACATAAAATATCCAATGACAACGGGATAAGACTCATTACATTTGCAGGATCTAAGAATATGAGGATCAGTAGTACCTTTTTCCCACATAAGAGAATACACAAACAAACATGGATGTCACCAAACGGAACCACAAAAAACCAGATTGACCACGTAGCGACAGATTACATAATAAAACATTGGATTCAGGATGTAAGAAGTTACAGGGGGGTAGGAGCCCACTCAGACCACTTCCTAGTTAAAACGACACTCCGAAGAAAACTACAAAGACAATGGACGCAGAATCAAGATGCGCAGTCAAAATTGGTCACGGGAAATCAGAAGAATTCCAAACAACAACAGGATTAAAACAAGGTGACGCACTGTCACCAATACTATTTAACATAGTACTAGAGATGGCAATAAGGGAAGTACAAGAAGAATACCTATTAATTAACTGCGGCCAAAACCTTCCATTACTCGCATATGCCGACGACGTGGTAATATTAGGCGAAAGCGAGCAGGACATCAATAAAGCAACGGAATTACTGATACGAAGCGCAAACAAACGGGGACTCAGCATTAACGAGACTAAACAAAATACATGCGAGTCGGTAGAAACATAGATCAGAGACGAAATGCAGCTGGAATACAGGTCGGAGAATATATGTTTGAGGAGGTAGATGATTTTAAATATTTAGGCACTAACCTAAGTAGCACAAATGACAACCACGAAGAAATAAAAAACGCATGACATCAGGAAATAAATGTTTTTACGCCCTCTCGGGGTTATTGGGGTCGAAGATACTGTCCAAAAAATCAAAAGAACGACTCTATATGGTACTAGCTAGACCAGTGACAATGTATGCATGTGAGACATGGCCCACGACCCAAGGGGATGAGAATAGACTAGCTATCATGGAGAGAAAATTCCTTTGGAAGATTTACGGACCAAAAAGAAACGAAGACCAAACATACGAAATAAGATCTAACAGAGAACTACAGGAGTTATTCGGAAAACCAGACATAATAGCGGAAATACGCCACAAAAGACTGAGGTGGCATGGATATGTACTAAGGGCTAAGTCAATAGCAAATGCTGTACTAAGATGGACTCCTCAGGGAAGAAGGCTGATTGGAAGACCAAAACAGAGATGGATGGACAAAAATAAAAAAGAACTGAATCAACTTGGGATAGAAAATATTACTGAAGCGGCCATGAACTGAGACAGATGGAAGGAGATTTGTTTTGCAGCAATGGGCCTTAATGGCCTTTAAAGCTGGATAGTAGTAGTAGTATTTAGATTTACATAATAAACTAGGTCCTGAAACAAAAAATCAGAAAAATTTATTATTCCAGTTAGATATTGAATTTGATGACACTATGGTGTCCTAGGCCAAGTACAACTTACAGAACAGTGTAATAATTGTGTTTTAATATTTATGTATTTAATATAAACAATTTACCTGTTTGACTAACTCCATACATTCAACTTCAAATGTTTTGTCCGTTGGTTTTTGGACAATCACAGAATCTTTAAAGAGGATTTTTGAATTTTCCTCTGGAAACTTCTTAGACCCAGAAGCATTGGAATCAAGTTGTTTTAAAATATTATTTTCCAATTTTGCCAGTTTTGTGTTCAACAGTTCATCAATTTGGTTTATAGTTACCATTTTTTCTTTGTCCTTTTTCTGTTGTAAAATATTTGTTGTATTATTACTATTAGTTTTAATATTTTAGTCTTAGTTATTATTAGGTATTAGTAGAAATAATTGGATGTGAAGTTTATCTTACCAATTCAACATTTTTTTGTTTTAAATGTTCACCCTCTGTGTGAATTGTCTCATATTTGAGTTGCAGGGTTTCGTCAATTCTTCCTGTAATTATCAATAATTACATTAAAATTATTTTTCTAAGTATTTTGATTCATAAAAATTGAATTTAAGGCTAGTAGTTTATAAGTTATAAGTATTTAAAGTTTTGATTGGCGGAGTGGAGTGGTATGGCGTCCCCCCGCAAAATGTTTTCCACTACTCCGCTTGTCTAAACTTTAAATACTTATAACTCATAAACTACTCGTCCTATATTCGATTTTATGAATCAAAATTCTTAGAAAAATATTCTGCTATGGAATATGAAATTAAAACTATGTTGTCATTCAAAAAAGTAAAAATCTTAAAATTTTTTTTCAAAAACAATACTTTTTGAAATTATTGTTCTTAGATAAAAAAGTGTGGTGCGATGTTTCAGTAAAAATTATTATATTTTTAACTATATGTATACCAATTTTAATACAGCATTTCCAATCTCTTCTTTAAGGCTCTCATTCAATTCATTAACTTCAGTATTGTCGGATTTTAAATTGGAATTTTTATTTTGTAACTCGTGTATCTCCTGTGAATAAAACTATTTTAAACATAACTTATACCAAGCATTTTTAAAATATTTAATAGCGTTTATCTTAAAAATCTAATTAGTTGAGTAGAATTTTAGAATAAAATATAATTTTTAAGACCATAAAATTATTCTATGCAAAATTAATTTAACACTGATATGATATAAAAATTATAGAAAAGTCATGGGTCTTATGTCCCTTTCCATGGCCACATCCACATGCCATCATTTCAACCACCCCATGTCATCCTACTATATATTTCTATTATTCTAAACTACTTACCTGTGTCTTAGTTTCCAATAATTGCAATAATGATGAATAGCCTTGTCTATAAAAATCTAATTCTGATATTTTAGAATTGTTTGAACTCATTGAATCAAACTCTTCATAGGTTTTTGGATAGTTCTTCATTTTTATGTGTTAAAATGTACAACAGTATAAAATGTGTATATGCTTTAAAATAATTTAAGGTATATATTGAACATATAGACACTAGTTGTAGACTGATGTGGATAAGATAAATGTTGTAAAATATACCATTTTATTCATGGTTATTAAAAACCCAAATTTTACCTAAGTGCATTATTTTCATAAATGTTAACATTTTTTTTCTCTGTACAATTACACTTGTATACATAGTTGAATGTCTATATTATTAATAATAAAATTAATTTTTAATTTTTCATTGTTTTTATTCTTTATATAATATTTTTGTATTATTTTAAATACCTATCCGTTGTAATATTATCACAGTTGTTTAGTTATTCAACTAAACTAGATTTTGTTTAGTTTTATATATCTAACATTTTTAAATATTGTACTCAAATAAAGAAAAAATTGATATGGTAAAATGCTATACTGAAATGATAATGAATACCAGAGCTGCAAAAAGGTTTGAAATTATTTTGTAAATAATAAGTTTATTTTAAACAAATGCATATTACACAAAAGATATAAGATATCTTTATGAAGAAAAAGATAATGGTCTTAGTGATCTAAAAAAAACAAACAAGATTTACTGCTACCAAAAAAACTAATAAATACGAATAATTGTATACATCTAATGTTATATTAAATACAGATTATATAAAAATCGGTATCCTGATCGTTCTTGTCCAGCACATTCAAGATTTTATTATTTATATAAAAATCTTGAAGAACATGGGAGCTTTACAAAACCAAAAAGTAGAGTTTCAACTGTGACCAATGACAGCAATTCTTTTTCCGTGTTGGCCAAATTGATTGAAAATCCACAAATATCTTTGAGAACTGTAGTAGGTATTCCTAATAAATAAAAATTAAAAATTAAATTTTATTCTAATTTTTAAATTCCAGATGAATTAAATATGACATATTCTTCGGTTCAAAAAATTGCTAAAAAACACAAATATCACGCATACCTGGCCCATCCTTTTAGTTTTAGTTTCATAGTAAGTTATGCATGTAATAATAAAATAAAATATAATAAATAATATTATGTCCTTAGAATTTTACATATTTGTTTTGCGATGTAATAAAAAAACAATTATAGTCCCATGTAAAATTAATTTGTTGGTATACAAGTTAAATAAATAAATATATTAATAAATAAATATGATACAAATATTTGTATTACTTAGTTTTAAAATAATAAATAAAAATGGGTGCAAATATTTAATATTAAATATTTTTAATTTTTTAATTTTGATGGATTTAAACCATTAAATTTGGATAAATATTGGCTTTATTATTATGACGCTGAACATTTTTTCTTTCTAAAGAGTCTTCATCAAACTCTTGATTTTTAGTGTAATCATTGTGTTTATGAGACCTTAGTATTAGATTATGAGTAATGCTAGAAAAAAATCCCGCTAGAAGCTTTGTACTCCACCCAAAGGTTTGATATAAAAAAGTAATATTAATACCTGTGTCAACAAGTGTTAATATTAATTTTGCAACAATGAATATACCCATTAGCCCAGACACAAAAGTTCCAATTGTCGTAAACCAACCCCATAATTTAAATAGCTTATCTTCTACCATTTTTCCAAGCGTGTTTTCGTCTATCAAATATTTAAATTGCAGACCTTGATTAGTCGTATCATATCCCATAGATTGTCTGATTAAATTATTTGTGGCAGCTTTCACTTCTTGCGGGAACAATATATGCTGTTGAAAAGCTTTCATTGTGTCCTTTGTATATATACCGTCATTCATAAGAAAATCCGGACTTTTGTACGACCATGTCCAGGACGTGGCTGGTTTAAGCTTTTGTGGTTTCTTAATTTCTTGTATGTTTGGTAGAATGGCAAACCAATCACCGCCCAATTCGAATGCAGGTGGTAGAAGTACATTGCAGTCCACCTGTGTTCCAAATTGTTGTAAAATATGTGTTTTGGGCGCCATAAATAATGTTTTGTTATTGTATAACACTGGTAGTTCATTAAAACAATTTTTTTTGGTGATATTTCAACGTTAACTTTTTTGCATTTTATTAAATAAATTATTTCACTGACTTTTATTGCCGTGAACCCTGGTCCACCGCCCATTAAATACGCAAACTCCGAAAGACTAGAAGACGCTAATGTTAGTCGTTGCTCTAGTAATTTTTTCTCTAGCTCACATTGTTTTAGTATTAAATCATTGTACAACGATGTAATCGTTGATTTAAAGAAATTTTCGACATAGACAAATTTAGTATTTATGTAGGCTAATAAATCAGTGTTTTGAGCTGTTATAGTTTTTCGTGTAAAATAATTAAAAAATGTAGGTTCTGTTAAAATTAATAACGGCATATGTTCAGTCTGAATAACTGGGATTCCTGTGCAGGCGAAGGTTTTTTTGACTTTTTTTAAAGTAAAGACTATTTTGTCAGTCTCCACAATAGAAGTGTAAGTATTAGAAATGTCATCAATAGTATATGACGTAATTAATGACGCTGGCCCATCATATAGGTCACTGAAATCGTGTACTTCACAGTTTATGTTATTGATTGACCAGATGGCTATAAATTATTAAAATTTACCTAATCGTTTCCCTCGATGAGCATGGTGGTTGATTGTCAGCACCTAAGAAAAAAGGTTCCGCAACAACTTCTTTGACATCTGGATTGGGACTTCGTTAACACAATTTTAGTGAAATTCATAATAATATTTGATAATAATACTGCAATAAATCAATAAATAGTTATACTTAGTATTTACTAACGTGATGCTTGTTGCTTATACCTTTTTGTTGTCCTTTTTGTGGAGCGTACGTTGACGAAAAACTTTTATGGTGCCTCTCTGCCGGACAACATGACGCGTGAGTAGGTACTCTTTTTACCGCGGACGTCCTGCGGACGACCGACGCCCAGGTCACACAATATCACGATTTGGTAATACCATTCTTATTTATTATTATTATCATATACTATACCTTGGCCGGTATTTCGTTTCGTTTCTTTTCTGTGTATAATCCCCACTATAGTGTACTAATATCGTTTTTATTATTATTATTATGTATTTGTTGTTTTTTTCTAAGGTGACCCTTTTTGTTGCTGTCAAGTTTTTATGCCAGTGTGGGCTTTTCTTTTCCATAAATTAATTATTTATTTGCCATACGATTATTAAAATTAATATACCTTTTAACTCACCCATCAATTGTATGTTCTTATTGTTTTTTCCTATTTACGTTATTATATTACAAATCCCACACGCTCCGATTTCCGAATCTCGGCTGTGGGTTGGCGACCTTCCCACTAAAGTTTTTCGTCAACGTACGCTCCACGCCGAATCTGGGTAAGCCATCGTGTGAGACGTTACAACTATTAACCATTAACTGAAATTATTAATTTTTTTTTAATGTTAAATA